GTGAAGCCTTAAAGCATGGAGCGACCCTGTGCCGCAGGTGGGGAGGGTTTGGGGCTGGAGGCATGGCAAGCTGTGTGAGGCAGATCCCAGCACGAGTCCCACCCCGGCCTTCGGGGAGCTCACAGGAATGTCTCGGAGGGCCTGGTTCTCAGCTTTCGGACGCCCCTTCTTCTTCCCTTCGGTCCTGTCACTGGCTGGACTTCCCGGGTCAAAGCACAGTGGGGCCTGGCTGGACACTGTCTGCCCACCCCGGGCCACCGGCATCCCTGCAACACATGATGTGCTGAGACCTGGAAGCTGTGCTTCCCACAGCCCTGCCTACCACCCACGGGGCCGGTCAGGCCTGGAGTAAGCCCTGCTTCTCCCATGGTGAAGTGTGGGGAGTGGGAGATTGTGGTCATCCTAGGACGAGAATTTAGGGCCCCAGGCTGCCCCCACCCTGGGAAGGCCCTCAAGAGCCCAGGCAGCCCAGCTGAGTACCCAGGAGCTGGACCACTGGGGAGCTGGGAGCCAGTTAGGGATCCCACACCCAGGACTGGCTGCCTGTGATCACCTGGACTTGACCTTGGCCTGACCCCTCTTACCCAACTTTGGTGGGTCGTGTAGCACAGGAAGTCGGACCTCATTTCGGCCTCCATCCTTCCCAGGTCCACTTTTGGTGGACCCTGGGAGCCGGCGGCCTCCTCCAACGCAGAAGGGATCAGTCATCTCTGCACAGCAAGTGGACAGACCTGTGAGGCCTACCAGGCCCGGGTCAGGACTTGAAATAGGATGGCCCTGAGCCCCACCCCCAGACAGGCCCCTCTCTGGCTCAGGAGAGCAGTGCCTGCCCACCTGTGTATTTGGCCACTGGGAAAGTAGATGATGGAGGTTTCTGGTTTAGGGGAGGGGCTGCCCAGATGAGGTCCCCCCATGTTATCCAGGAAGCACAATCATCCTGGAAGCATCTAATCCTGACCCTCATCAGCCACCACAGACTTCCCTTGTCCCCAGACACACAGTCCCAGAGAGTGCCAAGGATCACACCTGCTACTGGACTAGGGGTGGTCCCTAGAGAGGTGGAATGTTAGGAGGAAAGAGATGAAGAGAGTCCCTCCCCAGGGCCAGTTATGACATCAGTACGGCTGCCAGCTCACATGCTGTGCTGGCCTAGGACCCTGGACACCTTCCTCCACAGCCTCACCCAGACCGGAGGCAATGCCTCCCCACCTGGGGGGGCACCCCCCGATCCTTCTCTCCAGGACACAGATGGAAAATGGCCAAGATGGGCACTGAGGACCCCTAGCCTAGTCCCTAAATTAGCGACTTCCCAAGGGGCGTGTGGGGCAGATCAAAGACAGAGCACCCTATAAGCACCCGGGTCCGGTCCCCATGCCAGCCAAACCATCCCATCGACCCTCTTCTCAACCTTGTCTCCAACAGGAAACCCTCAGCCAACCCTCTACCTGGCTGACCTCCTCCCCACCTCCCCACTTAAAAGCCTCTCTGGCCCCCACCTACAGGCCCACCAGTACCACTCCTCCAGAGACCACCAGCCTTTGGCCACAGCGAACACCTCACTGTCCAAGGCTGAGCCTCCATAGGCCCGTTTTGCTGGGGGACCCCATACCCTGAGAGCTAGGGGAAGGGACTCTGAGCTTAGGTCCTACTAGATCCTCCCATAGGGACACCCAAGGCCACAGGAAGGGGTTTGGGGACAGTTGCGTGGACAGGGGGCCCCTCCTCTGGCAGTTCCCAACTAACTTAGACCAGAGGAGATGGGGAAGAACTCCAGGCCTAGAGGGGATCCAAAGGCTGAGGTCAAGGTAAGGGCAGTCACTGCCGGCTACCTCCTAAGCCTGGGTGGAGGTACGGGTCTCCCCGGCCCTAAGCAAAGTTCTCTGAAGTCCTCACACGGAGACTTCTAAAGGACACCTGCCAGCGTACGATCACCCCAGCCCCTGATGACTCCAGCAGCCTGGGGTGGGGGTGCCTGCCAAGAACCCACTTTCCAGTTTCCAGCTTGGGTGGAGAATTCAGAGTTGGGGGGCTGGGGCCAGGGCTGCCCCAAGAGACAGACACCCTCTTTCTACCCAGGACCTGTCACTTGAACAACAGGAGGAAAAGGGATTCCACCCTGCCTCAGCGCCCGGCAGGGTCGCCGAGGTGGGACCCTCGCAGGGGGGAGGGGGCGCCACAAGCAACACCGGCGCAGGACCGCGGCCCAGGCTGGGCGCACGGATGAGACTGGCCACGGAACACACACCTGGAGGCCGGCCCTGCCACCCACCTGTCACCTGCGGCCCGGGTGTGGGGCTCCGGCCTGGCCCCGAAAGGGCCCGATCGCGGGCACGGGGGGGGGGGGGGGGGGGGGGGGGGGGGGGGGCGAAGGCAGTGAACCAAAATGGCGACTTTTTCTGGAGAAGGAGGAGGCAGGAGCGCGGCGCCGGCGCGGGGCGCGGCGCTGGGCGTGTGGGGGTGGGGTGGGGTGGGGCGGGGGTGTCCGGGCGCGGCGGGGGGTGGTGGGCGGCGGGCGGGGGCTCCCGGCCCGGCCCCCCCCCACACCGACCTGTGCGCGGGGTCAGGGTCGGGAACGCGGCCGAGCGAGGGCTGCCACGGGGTCCCGCCCGGGGCGCGGCCGGGGGCTTACCTGCGGCGCCCAGCGGGACGGCGGCCGGGGCGGGGGCCGGGGCCGGGGCGCTGGGCGCGGGGCGCGGGGTCCGGGCGGCGCAGGCTGCGCGCCGCGCTGCGCACATGCGCGCTCCCGCCCCTCCCACCTTTGACAGTTTTACTGTGGGGGGGAGGGGGCGAACTCTCGCGGTATTCCTGCGGCCGCTCCGCGACGGGGAGGAACAGCTGGGAGGGAGGGGGCCCATCGGCCCGACCTCTCCCTCGGCCCCCGGCCCCCGGTCCCCGGCCCCTGGCCCGGTGGCCGCGGTCGGCTGGGGCCCCAGTGCGAAGTGGCCAGTTTTGCCGCCCCGTAGGGCAGGGGGCGTTTTTCAGGCAGTGGGGTAAACTGAGGCACTATAGGGGTGTTGGGAACTGCCCAAAGCTCAGCGTACCCGGACTGAAGCGAGCAGATGCCTCTAGGTGCTGGCTCTGGGAAGCTGCAGCCATGGTGACCACCGTCCTCTGGGAGCCGAACCCCTGGCCCTTGGGAGCCCTGCGGCTGCAGAGCAGGATCTGAGGGTCTTTCAACGAGCCCCGTGACCACCTCTGTCTGTGGCCACAGTCAGGGCTCCACCCGGTTCCTAGCAGTGCTAGGCAGTTTGAGGCCATGGACCCTATTGGGGCTACTGATCATTGGAGCAGCCTCTGTCTGCTTCGGGTGGGGGTGAGCCTAGATCAGTTGCGTTTTGCTCGGCAGGGCCCCAGAACCCCGGGCCTGAGAGGGCACCCCGGTATCAGGTCTGGGGGAAATGGGGCCCCAACCCTACCAGGAGTTGGGAAAAAATAGAGCAGGGGAAGAGGAACTAGGTGGGACATGGTTACAGTGTGCACTGCCTTCTCCAAGTGTCTCCCACCCCCTATTCCGATCCCCACTTCACCCCTGTCTGCCCTGGAACAGGTTGGCTGCGTTGCTAGGGGGCAGAGCACAAAAGGTCAGATTAGGGTCTGCCTCTCCTCACAGGACTCTTGCTTCTCTAGTGTCCGGCACAAAGTGCTCCCAGAGAGAGGGGTGGGGTCCCTCTGTGGAGGACTCAGGAGGTTGAACCTTCTTGGAAAATCAGAGCTGGAGAAAGGCCCATGTGACCCCAGGAGGAAGAGGGAGGGCCCATCCTTCCCTTACTGAGCATGCCCACACTGGGGGCAGGACATGCAGGATTTGGGGAGGGGTCAGTCTGCACAGGAGATGCAGACAGCTTTCTTGTCACCTTTCCCCGTGTAAGTCTGAATGTCCACGTGTGTAACCATGCCCATTAGTAGGTGTGTGTCTGAATGACCACATGTGCTGGGCTGTGTCCTGTGTGGACACCTGATGTCAGGGTATGTCTGTGTGTCCTGTACTAGGAGAGAAGGATGCCTGTTAGTATGTTAGTATCTGGATGACCAGCTGCAAGACGTGTGCGGGTGGAGAGACTCCTGTGTCTTAGCAGGTGGGTGTCTAGGCTACAGCGTGTCTGGATGTCAGGGCATTGTGTGCTGTGCCCCTGTGTGTTTGGTACATTAGGGGATCACTGCATCAGGGCGTACTGTGGTTCTGGATACCAGCGTCCGTGTTTCTGTGTCCAGACTCCAGGGGTCAGTTTGTGCCTCTCTATTACCGTGTGTCTGATTGCTGTGTGGGTACCTGTGTTGAGGGTGTTGTGACCTGTTTCTTATGTCAGAGCGTTACCCTGTGCAGAGCGCTTAATGGGGACCCTGGAAGGTTGCCATGTCAAATCCCTGGAACCCATGAATACGACCTTATTTGGAAAAAAAGGTCTTTGCAGATCTGCTGAAGTGAAGGGTCTTGAGATGAGAAGACCATCCTGGATTGTCCAGGGGGGCCTTAAATCCCGTGACAGGTTTCCCCGTGGGAGGGAGATTTGACATAGAAGGTGATGTGAGCACAGAGGCTGGGCCGGAGTGACACGCCAGAGCCCAGGAATCCCTGGGGCAGCCACCAGAAGCTGGGAGAGGCTCTACCCTGTGCTCCAGGAGGCAGTGTGACCCTGCTGGGTTTCAGACCGGTGGCCTGCATGGCCAGAACAGAATCCGTTTCCGTTGTGAGAAGCTTCCCGGTTGTGGTCCTTTGTTCTGGCAGCCCCCGGAAAGTAACGCACCTATGTCCCTGCGTCTGGGTGCAGTCCACAGGTCTGAGCCCAGGGTTCCAGCCTCTGCCTCTCCTCCTGACCTGGTCCTGAGGTAAATAGGTGCTCTGTCAAGATGTGACACCACTGCCCCCTAGTGGCCCTGCGGAGGGACCTGAACTGGGCACTGGGCACTTCCTGCCCCGATGCCAACCAGGGCCCCTCCCGCTCCCCTCCCAGGGCTCTTCCCGCTCTCAAACACCCAGCTGGCTGAAGCCGAACACACACTTGGGGCACTTGAGAACCGGGTTTATTTCTGGTCTTTTGGTCAGAATATAAAAAAGCGCAAAACAAAGAAGACAAGACAAGAGCATGGGGGCATGGGGGGCAAGACAAAGGAGGGAGAAGGTGGGGCAGTGATAGGAAAGACCCTCCGGAAAAGACAACGTTGTGATGGCACAGGGTGGGCTGGGACAATCAGGGTGGCCAGACAGGACACGGGGGCTTCCTGTATGGGCCTACAGGATGGAGGGCACCAGGCCAGTCGTCCAAATTCCACTCAGGACCTGCAACAACCAGCCTCCCACCTGGAGGCCAGCTCAGGGCACAGAGAAGAGGCTGGAGGCTCAGCCTCATGTGTCCCCGAGATTTTCAGAGTTCCTGAGGGAGGGGGAAGGCAAAGGAGCCAGAGGGTGGGGGGCTATCAGGACCACCCTCTCTGTCCTTCTCCAGACAGCACCAGGCCCAAACCATGGGCCCCCTGGCCCATGGAGTGGTGGCTCAGGCGCTGGCTGGGTCTCTGGTGGGTGGGTGTGGGGGATGCAAGCCTCAGGACTGTCTCTTCTGTGAATTCGGATTTTCCTGGGAAAGGAGCAGTGAGAATACACATGCTCCCCAATGTGGGAGGAGCGGGAGCCAGGTTCCCAAACCTAAGGCCGCAACCCAACTGAGCCCAGTCCTGGCTGTGGGGCCCTTGTGGTGGTGAATTAGGTCCCGGGCGCCTGAGCAGTCCCCAGACCTCTCTCACTTCGGTTCCTGGGAGTGGGTGGGGGTGGGGTGAGGGTCTCAGAAATCACGGGGGCCTTCTTGGCGGCAGTGGCTGCTGCGATCTGGATGGGGGGGCACGCGCCAAAGGGAGCCTCCACAGTTTATCCCCCTTGTGCCGGCAATCCTCTACGTGCTGGGTTAGGGTGGAGAACTAGACAAATGGGCAGACAGACAGACCTCTCGCCCTGGGGGCGGGCAGGATGCCCAAAGGAAGTGTGACTCAGCAGGCAATAGGGGCACAGGCATGGGTGTGGGTTAGGGGAATATAAATAATAGACTCCCTGGGAGGCTGTGGGGGGTCACCAGACCCTGCTCTGGCTCCAGGTAGCTGCCCTGCATGCTGCCAGCAGCACCAAGGGTGGATTTGGGCTCAGGTCCCCGGAGGAAGGACCACACCCAAGCAGCCCCCACCTGCTCACAGCCCAGAATGCACAACCAGAGATGGCAATCCTGGTCCCACCTGTCCACTGGGCTGGGTTCAGCCCCTGGCGCCTCTGGCGGGGTCCGAGAGGGGCTGTGGGCCAGCTCTGCATCGCCCTTGCCACAGGCTCTGGTCACAGTGCTGGGGTCTGGGGTTCGAGCCTCACACAGCGGCTAGGACGTGTTTCCGAAGGAGGCTATGGGGTGGATGGGGGCGAGGAGAGGTGCAGATCGCTGGTACCTCCCCTCTGCCCTGGGACAGGATGGCTCTTGCTGGCGTCCTACAACTGCTACCCCCCCCCCCAGGTCAGCCCACCTAGCGCACAAGAGGGCCTCCCCCTCCACGTCTCTCTGCCCGCCACCCCCCCCCCCCACTGACCTTGGCTGAGCAGCTGCAGGCTCCGCCCCTCCTCTCGCACCTGCAGACGCAGCAGCTGCTGCAGCACCTCTTGCCGCTGGGCCTCCTGCGCCAGCCCCATCCGCTGCAGCTTCTCCCCGTTCAGCCGCAGCAGCGCCCGGCCTGAGAGCGAGCCAAGGTCAGCGTCCGAGGGGCAGAGAGAGAGAAAGGGGAGGAGGACACAGACAGACCCAAGGACGAGGACGGAGAAAGAGAGGCAGAGACACAGAAAGAGACGGGGAAGGAGGCTGAGAGGCACCAGGAAGGCAGGCAGGGCCAGGGCGGAGGGAAGCCAGGAGAACAGAGGAACACATCGGGGAGAAGGGACAGCCCTAGAAGGAGGGGTTGGCCCCGCAGGAAACAGAGGAGAGAAGGAACAAGGGCTGCCTCCCCCCACCCAGCCCTTAAGGGCACCTGTGATGGCATGCTGGGAGAAGGCCTCCACATAGACGAGGTAGTTGTGGGGACAGTGCTTCTTGAGCCACTTGCACACGTCCTGCTGACTCCACAGGACCACAGGCCTTGTCAGGCCACCCAGGGAGGGGCTTGTGTGGTACAGGCCATAGTGGTCGGAGTACAGCCGGGCCTGTGGACGAGACGGGCAGCAGCTGCGGTGAGAGGGTGGGAAAGGCAGGGGCTGAGGTGGGTATGGTGGGTGGGTACCTGGGGGGCTTCCGTGCCCGGCTGCTGCAGGAGCTTGACTGGCCGGCCACCGGCGGCCCTCTGGCTACGGGAATCATGCCACGTGAGGCTGGTGCCTGGTGTCTGAGGGAGGTGGCAGGGGATGCTCTCGGCGGACACCGTGTGTTCCAGGAGGGTTCGGCAGAAGCTCAAATGGGCAGCGGCTGCAGAGCATGAGTGCCTGATCAGAGTGGCTGGGGCAGGGCCAGACGATCACCTCTCTGCACACCAGCTCCCTGCTCAACACACCCTCCAACGGAGGAGAGCCACTTTCTCAATTAGAGGGTCCCAAGCCCCCAAAGGTGGAAAGGAAATGTGCAAGAGCTGTCTTTAGTACCGTATGCAGTCCCAACACGACAAACTAGGAGCCTCTTTCCTCGTCTGAATGCATCGTCCATATTCTGAGGAGTGGGCTGGATTTGGCTTCGATTAGAGAGCCAGTGTGCCCATCAGGAAGCCTAAGGCCCACAGCCTGGTGAGGGGCTATTCTGAGACGGGCCTCATGTCACCCTTGCTTTGGGCTGACACAGGCTGAACCAGATCAGGTTCAGGGAACCAGACCAGGCTCCTATGTCCCGGGAGATCCCGCATGATGGCGACCGTCTGAGTACGCCACCTGCCCATCACCACCAAAGGCGACCAGTTTCTGCGGCCACATCTGGCATCTGAGGCTCGGCTCCTGCCCTGCTGTGCTCATCTGCCAACCCATGCGCGAGAGGCCTGAATGAACTCTGGGCAAGCCGGCAGCCAAGATTCCTATTCTTCTACCTGCCATAGGGCCCTCAGCCCAGGACGGCTTCTGTGCATGGTGGGTGTCCAGTGGGCATGGGCTGCTCTGTGCAGGGGTGCAGGGCCCAAGCGCAGCCTCGGGGAGCCACAGTGACACCTTGCGCCCTCTCTTCCCACACACACTTCATGATTCTCCTCAAGTTGTAATTTTCCCATCATTCCTGTGCATGTTATTCACGCGGGTCACAGGAGGGCAGACACCTGAATGGTCACTTCCCAGCCCTTGCACAGGTCTTGGCAGGCCGGAGGTGTCCAGAAACATTGTGGATGGATGGGTGGTTGGAGAAAGGCTCTGTGTGGTGTCCACCAGTCAGTAGAGCCTGGCAGAGGGTGGAAGACAAGCGCAGGCCTGCCTTCATCTCTACGGCATCTAGGTCCCAACTCAGCAGGCAGTAGCAGGTTCCTGGCCTTGCCTCACTGGCTCTCAGCGGTACAATGAGAGACACGCCCCCCCATGGACACACCCCAAACCCCCAACTGAGGGCAGGGTTTGGGGATGTGCCCGGGAGTTCTCAGTAATGGGGAAAACGCATTACCCCCCCTTACTCCTTAAGATTCCTTGGACTTAGCACCCCTCTTCTTTCTAGCAACCTCAGGGAATTGAACCAGCGCGGGTTACTCTAAATTTGAGGTCCGGGGTCAAACAGTAGGTCTGGCTGGTGTGGTCGGTGCCCGGATGTGGCTTTGAAAATCATAGGAAAAGACTTATTCTAAGCTGGCATCTTTCAGGGCACAGGTTCCTCAGCCACTTGGCCTCACATGGCAGGGCCTCGCGGAGCCGGGCCGGGCCAAGGCAGGAGCGTGAAGCTCTGGGCGAACCAGTGGGACGCCGCCACGCGCGCTTCACCTGTCCGGGTCCAGCCGGGCCCCGCCCATTCCCTGCCGGTGCTCCGAGTAGGATCTCCCTCTTTCCGTCTGTCGACCCGTCGTTCCGTCCCTCCCTCTTAGTCCCAACGTCAGAATTCCAGCATAAAATGGGGCGGGGGCGCCCAAGCCGGGCTGTGGCCTCGACCCTCTCGCGGCCCCACTGCAAGAGCTAGAGAAGGAAGGGCGCGCAAAGGAAAAGGTGACCGCGGGATGGTGCCAGTTTAAGGAGAGGAGCCCCAGCCGGTAACCTCCTCCAGGCCAAGGATGTGCTGATCCCCAAGGCCTGAGGCCACCCCCCCAGTTCAAGACAAAGACACCAGGGACCCCGTTCAGCCAGGACGCGACCCCCCACTCCGCGCCAAGCCGCAGCTTGGAGTCCGCCAGATCCCGCCCCCGCCCCCTCGGTTCCCGAGCCCCCAACCCGCGATATCCCCGCGCCCTGGTCCAGTCCTGCTCACCGTCCACATCCCGGCGTTCCCCGAAGCCGGCACGCACAGCCCTGGCGCGGCCTCGCGGGGGGCTCAGCTTGGTCCTCAGCTCCGTGAACATGGGGCCCAAGGATTCCGGGCCCGAGCACACGCCCCTCGGCGGGCGCAAGGCGGCCGGTGTGGCCGGCGGGGAACGCGCGCCGCTGCCCCGCCCCAGCCGGCCCCGCGCCCGAGCCGGTCCCCGCGCCCGGCGAGTCTGCGCGGCGAGGCACCTGCCTGTGAGCCCTGAGAGCCGGGCGCGCTCCGGGAGCTCCGAGGTGTGTCGGCGGCGCGCAGGTCTGCGTATGCAAAGGGTGTCTGCCCGGGTAAGGGGCGACCTCGCACACCTGGGCACGGCTTCAAGGACAAGCGACTCTGGGCACCTTTAGGGGGTCTAGACGTCTGGAGGGGCCTCCGAGGCAAGGAAATAAGGAAGTGATCTTCCCCGCGGGGAGGATGGGGGCAGGAGAGGAGCGTCCTGCCTGCTCCTGGGATGGTCTGTCCACCGGGGCCCAGGATCAATGGCCAGACCGGCCCCTCAACCATTTCCTTCCACTCTCCTCCCTCAGCTTACGGACTCACCCCTCCGTTCACGCGTTCTCGCCCTCAAACGCGCGCTTGCTTCCCTAGACCCCGGCTGAACCCCCTCACAACGCGAGCTCCGGGAAGGCCGCCAGGCAGGGTCTCCCCCTTCCCGCTGTGGTCCGGACTCTGACTCAGCGCCCAGGAGGCGGCCCTGAAAGCCGTTCGGCTGGGAATGGGGGGAGCGAGGAGCCCCACGGAGGCCGCGGCAGGCCAGAGGGATGTGTCGGTTCCAGGGCTCCACGCGAAGGGCTCGGCGGGGCGGGGGCTGCTGGGGGCCGCCTGCTCGGAAGGCCGGAGGCGGTCGCGCAGCGGAAGGAGCGAAGGTGCACGGAGACGCGTGTGTCCCCCCGGAGCAGGAGCAAAGGCCGTCCGACCCGCACCCGAGCCCGCGACACACTCTAGAGACTCGCGCGGCGGCCAGCATCGGGGACCGCACGCCGCCCACATTTACTTATTCCCGCCAACTCGCCTTCCAGGGGCTGCACCTCCGCCCTCCCCGCCACGTTCAGGGTCTGGCGGTGGCGGCGGAGCCTGGCCCGTGATCCGGGCCCGAGCCGCGGCTCCGCAATCTGGGCGCCGAGAGCTCGAGCCCGCACACCGGGGCACACGCAGATGGGTGCGCTCACAGTCACGACACGCACACCCGCAGCAGCCGTCCACGGCCGGACAGGGGAGCGGCTCCGCCCGGACGGCTTAGGGCCAGCCCAGGGGCAGCACAACTCTGAGGGGAGGCGAACGGCTAGGCATGATTCCGGGGGTCCTGGGCGGCGGGGGTGCCTGGGGGGGTCACAGGTCCCGCTCGTAGGGGAGTACGTGCACGCAGTACGGGCGCGCAGTGAGGACGGCGGCCCCGGGCTCAGTTCTGAGGCCCCGCAGGGTTCCTCCCGGAGGCTGCAGCTCCTGCACGTCCCCAGCAGGGCCGCCCGCACACCGCCCCACCGTCAGGCGCCTCGCGCATGCGTCTGTCACATCCCCTCGCCGCCGACGCGGCCGGAAGTCGCTCTTCAGGAACTTCCGCCCGGGGACGGCAGGGTGGGCGGGGCCTCGCGCACCCCGCGAGCTCTGCTTCCGGGTTGCGGGTGACGCTGGTCCCGCCGGCGCTTCCTGCTGAGAAACCGGGGTGGTCCGTGGTCTTTTCAGCCTGCGGCCGCGGCTTCCGTCCGGTCCCTTCCCGGCCCCTCGTCATCACCGGCGCCATGAACAAGAAGAAGAAGCCGTTCCTGGGCATGCCCGCGCCGCTCGGCTACGTGCCGGGGCTGGGCCGGGGGTGAGGCCTGGGGCGAGCCGCGCTCGGGGGGCGGGGGCGCGCGGCGGGCCCCGGGGCGGGGCGGGCCGTGCGCTGGGGGCGGGCGGCGGGCGGGGCTCGCTCCTCGCGCTCGTCCCGGGGGAGGCCGCGCGGTGCCCCCGGGAGGAGAAGCGCGGGCGCGGCTCTGGGGCTGCGCTTCGGGGCCAGGACGGAGCCGAGGAGGCTCGGCTTCAGCCGCCTTCGGCCTCTGAGACGCGAGTGGGCGACTCCTCGAGCTGTGGCGGAGCCCCGTGGGCGCCCACGTCGTCTGAAGCGCGAACCGTGCTTCGCCTGCGCTGCTGCTCGTCCTGCAGCGGAGAAACGCTCAGCCCCGGCAGGACGGCGTGTGCGAGGCCTGGGACCGGGTCTCCGTAAACTGTCGAATAAATGAGCGGCCACCGTCGTTCTGTCTGTCTGGTCATTGATTTGTTTAGGACGAGCATTGGGTTTCCTTGCGGGGTGTGGGGTCAGCCTCTGTGGGGAACACACGGTCTTACTTGCGGACACCTTCTTCCACGGGCCTGCAGTCTGCTCGGAGATGGGCGAGGTTTGCGTTATTAAGTCCACGGGAAGGAGCAGAGTCTGGGAGTCGCAGCCATCACGGGATGCTCTGTGGGGCCGCAGCGGCCGAGCCCTAGCTTGGTAGAAGAGCTGATTTTAGGGATTAGAAACGTGGTAGGGTCAGAGGAGAAGCTGCCGTTTTGTGTGTTGGGTAGTTAAGGAAAAAAAGGCCCGGCGTGGAGGAAGACGAGGGACTTTGAAAGAGTTTGTGTGATTGGAGTGTTGGGGAGTGGGGTCGGAGGGGCCAGAGCTGCCGGAGAGACTGAGGCTGCCAAGTGCCTTGGTCAGAGCTGGGCTGAAGCAACGCGAAGGCTGAAGGCAGGGTGGCTACTTGGTTCCCAGCTGTGGCGGGAGTCCAGGTTTGGGGAGGACGGATTTCACAGGTGGAGTCCGCAGCGCTTGGTGGCTGATGCGGGGGAGGAGGGCGAGGGAGGCAGAGCTGAGGCTGTCGTGCCTGCCGTGGTTCCGGGATGTCGCAGCCATCCGCTGAGAGAGCCTAGGGCCGCTGCAGGATGAATCCCACCGGGCCAGGCTGGGTTTGAGGGCCGGCTGCGGGGATGATCAGGTTGTCGGAAGTGGGAGGCTGGACATTGCGAGGAGGGAGGGCTGATGCTCTGGTGAATCTGTTAAGGAAAGTGTGGGGTGGTGCCCTCCTCAGGGTAGGTCACGAGTTTCTCACCTGAAGAGAGCGTGCTGGTAATGTTGGAGAGCACAGCGGGCCTCCTCACAGTGCGCTGCTCCTGCATCTTCCGCGGTTTCTCAGCGACGTTAGAGGAGGAGGTGTTGGTCAGTGAGGACTGTGCAGGGGAGAGCAAAGGAAGAAGGTCACCCGGGTGAATGGGTGTCTTGGGGTCTCCTGCAGTGCCACTGGCTTTACCACCCGGTCAGACATTGGGCCCGCCCGCGATGCGAATGACCCCGTGGATGACCGCCACGCGCCCCCAGGCAAGAGGACCGTCGGGGACCAGATGAAGAAAAGCCAGGCTGCCGATGACGATGACGAGGACCTGAATGACACCAACTATGATGAGGTGACTTGCGGTGCACCCCAGCCAGGCCTCAGGACGGCCCACCAGCCTCTTAAGCAGTGCTCGGGGCGGCGGACACGCCTAGGGTTTCAGCCCGTTTCCAGGGTGTCTTCAGCAGAGTGTGAGAGGGGAGCGGGTCGGGGAAAGAAATGTGCGTTTTGTTTCTGCAGGATGCTCTGGCATTCGGGGTTGTCTCGGCGGGTCCCCGATGCCGCTCTGAGTGGCGTTAGCGATGGTACTTGATGTGTCTTGTCTCCGTGCGCCCTCTGACGTCACTGGGATTTGGGCAGTGGAGGTCTTCGTCAGATGTGTCCCGACAGAAGTTCTGCTCAGAGATAAATATTTGTAAAATTTCAGTGTGGGAAGGACTTGAGACTTCCAGGGAGCTGCAGCAGTAGTACAGGCAATTCCCGCGCGCCCTCCACAAGCTTCTGGTCTTCCTGACTTCCCTACAGTTAGGACATGGCAAGGTCGTCTGCTCGGTGGGTCTTACTGAATTCCACCGGTTTTTCGCTGGTGCCGTGTCTGATCCAGGACTCTGCGTCGCACGTACTTGTGTCTTAGTGTCGTCCCATTAGGGTAGCCCCTCCATCCTTCATGCCCATGACACTTTTTTTTAAAGGTTTATTTTTATTATTTTTTAGAGAAAGATAGTGCATGCGTACACACAGTTGGCAGGGGCAGACGGAGAAGGAGAGAGGATCTTTTAAAATGTTTTGTTATATTAGTCACCGTGAAGTACGTTATTAATTTTTAACGCAGTATTCCGGGATTCCCTGTTCGCATATCCCATGGACCCAGTGCTCCATGCGATCCGTGCCCTCCTTAATACCCACCACCAGGCTCACCCTCCACCCCCCGCAAAACCCTCCATTTGGGGGCGCCTGGGTGGCTCAGTGGGTTAAAGCCTCTGCCTTCGGCTCAGGTCATGGTCCCAGGGTTCTGGGATCGAGCCCCACATCGGGCTCTCTGCTCAGCGGGGAGCCTGCTTCCTCCTCTCTCTCTCTCTGCCTGCCTCTCTGCCTACTTGTGATCTCTGTCTGTCAAATAAATAACTAAATAAAAAATCTTTAAAAAAAAAACCAAACCCTCCATTTGATTCCCTGAGTCCATAGTCTCTCATGGTTCCACTCCCCCTCTGATCCCCACCAGTTTCCCTCCCTTCTCTTAACGTCCTCCATGCTACTCCTTATGTTATGCAAATAAGCGAAACCATATAATTGTTTTTTTTCCCTGCTTGACCTACTTCACTCCACATAATCTCCTCCAGTCCGGTCCATGTTGATGCAGATAGCACGCGTTCTTCCTTTCTGAGGCCGAGTAACATTCCTCACGAACATGAACCACAACTTTATCCATCCGTCTGTTGAAGGGCGTCTCAGCTCCTTCCACAGTTTGGCTCTCGTGGACGCTGCTGCTTTGAGCATTGGCGTGCGCCTGCCCCTTTTCACTACGTCGGTATCTTTGGGGAACATACCCATAGCGCAAGTGCTCGGTCGTAGGGCAGCTGTATTTTTAACGCTTTGAGGTACCGCCACACTGTTTTCCAAAGTGGATGCACCCCCTTGCATTCCGACAGTGTGAGAGTTTCCCCTTTGCGGGGAGAGGGAATCTGAAGCAGACTCCCTGCGGATCCCGCAGCCCAAGGTGGGGCTCCATCTCATGATCCTGACATCATGACCTGAGCCAAAATCAAGAGTCAGATGCTCAACCAGCCAAGCCACCCAGGTGCCCCTAA